AACACAGTGTAAAGGATACTTTTGGATTTGTTGAAAGGATAAGAGATTTAAATGTTGACAATAAATTCTTGATATCATTTGATGGATCTTCCTTATTCACAAAATGTGTACCACTTATGGAAACAGCAGACTTTGTATGTGTGGAACTCATAAAACGAAACATTGATGGCGGCATTCCTGTATAATTTTTCAAAAAAGGGCTTCTTTTGAAATGCACAATGAATGTTAAGTTTTTATTTAATAGGGAACTATACAAACAAATCGACGGTGTGGCAATGGGGTCGCCATTAGGACCTATTCTAGCCGACATTTTCCTTGCGAAACTAGAAAATTGGCCTTTGAAAGATGTTATTCATGAACTGGAATTGATACATTTTGGATTATGAAAAATGAGAAGGAAGCAAAGAACATCTTGGAAAAAAGTTTAACGAGGTTTATCCTGCAATTAATTTTACCATCGAGAAAGAGAGAAAAAGACTGCAGTATTTCATTTCTAGACGTCCTTATAACCAGAAAAGCGGATGGCACAATAAGAAGAGGATGTGTATATAGAAAACTTACATCAACTGACTGTCAGCATACTCATTTTCTCAGCTTCGTTCCTTTGAAATGCAAACGTAATATGATAATGTGACTGGTCCGCCGCAGAACAAGAAAGCAGTCTGCTTGGATGAATGTCTTGATGAGGAACTTAATAATATTAAAGAGTAACTGAGTGAAAACGGCTTCAACAAGAAAAATTCACTGATAAGAATATGTATTGAAAATCAAGGCAGTCCAAGGTACCGACAGTTTTAAAAAAAGAAGGCCTTGTTCTTACAACTTCATTTCCTCTGTAATGATTAACATCAGGGAGATATTCAGTCAATACCTAAGGAACACAGTGGTAAAAAGAGCATTCCCTGATGCTGAATTTCACTGTGCCTTCAAAACCACGCGTATTCTACTTTCGGGAGTAAAAGAGATAAACTGCCTAATTTCGCCTCTTCTTTCTATGTGTATCTATCACAATTTGACTGTTCCTGTGGAGTGAGTCAGTTAGTTGTGTAGGCCACACAACTAGGCATGTTTCTCTTCAGATTTCCCAGTATCACATTGCATAGTGGTTAAGTAAAGGACAGACAAAATCCACTCATAGCGCCATTCTTTCTCATCTCGTGGAAACAAAACACAAGACTGATGACAAGGAGGCATCTTTCACAGTCATTTACCGCATACCAACAGATCTTAACTTCGCCTTAAGATTTCGTCTACCACACATATTGCTGAGGCTGGCGGTTGAGATCCACATTCAGCAGCCTAATTTATGTGTCCAAGAGAAGCTATTTCAGATATTGTTTTTATCATCCTGGCCATTTAGGTTCGAATGATTCTAATTTTTTGTAGAAATTTCCTTAATTTTATTTGATATTCTATTTGCTGTTACATTTTTATTATTATTATTATAATTTAAGCATCTTTAATGAACTGTAATTCCATTGATTTTACTTATTATTATAATTATCCCTTGGGTTCGAAGTGGAACATAGGGTTTCAACTTCACGTCTCCACTTGCTACTTCTGTCTTTTCCTGTACTTTTCACCTGCATCCATGTTAGTCCATACTGTTTCAACTCCTCTTCAAACGATCTCCTCCATGTCACCCACCCCTGCACTGATGTCCAACTCGCCACTTCCCATTCTGTCGGGTTCCACTCGAGCAATGGCCTGAAGTGCGCGCGATGTTACCCAGCGGAGGCCTCCTCAGCCATGAGTGTCCAATCCATCTCCATCCACATTCTCCTGCATATTTGTTGGTTGGCGATTGGTTCTTGTTTTGTTTTGTTTGTTCCCAGCCATAGTTTCTTGCTGGTGATTCTTTCCGGCCCGGCCCGGCAATCTGATCTTCAGTATAGAGCCAGCGGAGACAGTTGTTGGTTGATAAAGGTAACGTCTGCAACAGGCTATTGGAAATATTCTTTGTGACCCATCCACCCGCCAAGTTTCTGATCCGTATAGAAGAACTGACTGACTGACTTGACGTTGTTTGTATTGCAAATCCGACCGAATTTTGTTGTTGATGCTGAGTTGAGTGACGAAGATTTCCCGATTTGTTTCAGATTGATGTGGATGTGTTTCTCGCTCGATTTGACATCCTCGTCCGTTCCGACTTCCTGTAGTTGAGACAATGCTCCCTAGATAAGTGATAAGTGAATGAAGTAACCTCTTTCAAATCCCTCCCGTTGATGGTGATTGGCGCTGCCTGTTGCTGTTGGTGTTGTTGTTGTCGTTGGTTGGTTGGTTGGTCATTTTCATAACCTCCGTCTTGTCTATGTTCACCTGGAGTCCTGTCTTTGCTGCTTATTTGACCAGTTTGTCGGTTTGTCGCTGGTCTTACTTAAGAGATCGATATTATATAAAAACCACCAATATTATTATTGACTACTATTCTAGAATATTCCATATATATAAACATACAGATATATAATTTTAGAGCCAGATGAGAAAATTATCTCAAATTATATTCTTTGCTCAATTATTTCGTTTTTTCTAAATGTCTGGATGAATATTTTCGCCAAATTCAATGATTCTTATTACTGACAAGTAGGTGGAATCGCTATGGGTTCACCATTAAACCCAATATCAGCTGACTTCTTCCTTTTAGCAAAACTTGAAAAAGGGAAATTGAAAGACATCATCAGGGAGTTTGATATGTATTACCGCTATATGTCGATGATACATCATCTATCTTAGCTGACGGGAATGCTAACATAGACGAATTGTTGATGAAATTCAACAACATCCACCCTTCGCTTACTTTTACTTGTATAGAGGAGCAGGATATTAAACTACATTTCCTCGATATCTTGCTAAGTTGGCGAGAAGATGGGCCACTTGACAGAAAAGTGTATAGGGAAAGCAGATTCACAGGGCAATACACAGAATTCCTAAGTTACGTGCCCATTAAATACATAAGAAGAGTTAAGTGTTTTACAAGCACAGCAACAAAGGTGTAAGAATGAACATTTACAAAGAGAATTTGAATATATTCATAATTCTTCGACGGAGATAGGCTCCCTTGAGTAGTTTTATAAAGAAACATAGGAAAACATCAGAGAGAAAACATGAGACTATGACTGCACGTAAAGAACCCACCAAAGAAGCAAAATCCCTACAAAACTATTACTTGAAAATTGATCTGATGCACACTAGCGACTGGCCGTATTCAGGCAGTTGCCTAGGGTTCCAGAGGGAAGCCGTAGTCAGCAGGGTACGGCAGGTCGGAGATGAGGACAGTTACTGCGAAGTGGCCGCGGTATGTCTTGCGCGAATTAGCAGGAGTTAGAATTCATGGACTGGCCATTGAATTGGTTGGGTTCCAGTGGCTGGTTGAATGGTCTCCGAGCTAGCTCGCCTTGTAACCAGAAGGTCCTTGGTTCTAACGCTGGCAATGGGATGGGTGCGTACTGCTGAAGGGTCCTAAAACAGGCTGATAAAACAGCTGTCTGGCAGTATTCCAGTGCTTGTTTTTAATGTTTCTCTAACTAATATCAATCCGCAGGCAAGCTTGAAGAACAACGAGAACAAATTTCACTGTTAATCAAATAATATGATTTAATAATCTGTTGTATTGGTTGTTAGTAGGACAGATTCTTTTAAAATCATATGTGAACTTTTTAAAAAAATTCAATTGCACTTTCTCGTTGAGTGATGATTGGACGGAAGTCTTCAGCCAACGTCAGGTTGATATGTCAACTTCTTCTTGTGTAGATGCTTCGACTATGTCTAATTATTATTCAGCTTTGTGGATGGTGGCTAGATGTGAGAGCTTCAGTAGGTATATCATCACTCACTGACTGGGGAATAAAAATACATCCATTTGACGAGTCAGGCGAAAATAGGACGAAGTGCTCCTTATGCTGGATTCCACAATGCTTTTCACCATCCATCAACTGACATAAATGAACTTGGTTGTTTGATTTTTCGCCTAAATATATGCGTCATTGGCATAGCGGTTAGGACTGTCACCGACCATGCACACTGTCCGGAGTTCAATCCCTTGCAGACGCACACCTAATATCAATGGTCGGCTTGCCAAATTTAGGCTACCAATATCACATGCTGAAAATTTCATACCTGCATCAAAAATACTGTGAGGAATCAAGCTGCAATCAAAATAAAAAAATATATATATATATATATTTGATTGGTTGAAGTATTCCATCATGAGCTGACATCGGTTAGTTAGAGAACCATTCGAAAACCAGCACTCGAGTACTGGACAGCTAGCTGTTTCGTCAGCCTAGTTTGGGACTCTTCATCCGTAGACACGAGCTAATCTTGTAGTCAGAAGGTCCTGGGTTCGAACCCTGGTGGTGGCGGTTGGGTGGTGAAGCGCAGGCTGTCCAGTACTCCAGTGTTGGTTTTCCAACAGTTCTCTAACTAACCGATGTCAACTCATCATGATGTTTCCTCCAACCAAATACATGTTGGATTTAACCATCACACCTACATGCATACATTTTTTATGTGTGCTTCAATGTGGACATCACATCAGTTGATATACACAACGCAACCAACAGAAGTATATCACATTCAGTCGATCAGTGTGTAGTAGTAGTAGTAGTAGTATGTATGACTACTCTACTATTGGATCGGATGTTTCACGCTATTGAAAAATACACGTTTGTTTGTATGTAAGTGTGTCTGTGTAGGTGTGTCTGTATGTGTATTTGATATTGGTATATCGTTTCTATTCATCAATTTATCCTTACAATATGTTTGTATGTATTACATTACATTGTATGAAATCTGACACGTGAAGGGACCACACAGACATAATCGTGTGGCTATCTAGATAACTTTATTATCATTCATTATTATTATTATTATTATTATGGTTAATCTTCTTCACCAATGATAGAACTGATTGAGAAAAAATAATAAATATCTCATACCCTGAAAAAAAAATTGTATGATGAACACTCCTTTTGTTGTTATTGTTGTGGCTGTCTTTGGTGTTGCTGTCGCTGTCCTATTCACTCACTCACTCACTCTATCTCCGATGTGTTTGGTGTGGATTGTCTCTGTCCTTCTCTCTCTCTCTCCTTCCCTCCCTCCCTCCATTTGCCTGTGTCTCACACCCTCACACCTATCACCCTTCAACTTTCTCTAAACAACCAATTGTTTATATTATCTACAAATAGCATACATGCTTTCATAGAGGAGGAGAATAATAATAATAATAGTAATAGTATTAGTAATAATACTACTAATTTACTAAATTTACTATCAGTAATCATATTTAAGCCTCCATGCAATTCATTCTCAAATGTAATCTAAGTTAGACAGTATAAACCACCGCCACTGTAATCCTCATCCACATCCACACCATCGTCGTCCTCCTCATCGTTCATCATTGTCCAACATTATCATTATCATCATCATCATAATTGACTTTAATCAGTTGATAGTGAATTTTTACTACCTGTTCTGTTGTGATAAAGAAACGTTCATCTGAACACTTTAAAAGTATTTTGAATTTTTCGCCCAAACCAAAAAAACTTATAAAGAAGAAGAGAGTATATTACACACACGCAGCGCACATACACATACATACACACAATACAAAATATGATGGCATTAAAACATTCCATGACTACTACAGTTGAATCAAGTTTTTCTGCAAAAAAGAATCATTTAAATCATTTATTTTCAAGAATATTTTTCAATTTATTTTTAATTTTTCTACTTACCAAATGTAGTACTATGAGTACTTCACGTGAGTTAATGTTCTCATATATATGTATGTATACATATGTATATAATTTTCTATAGTTTGGTTTGTAAGGGTTAGTTTTGTTTTTATGTGTTGATCACAGATTGATATCAGTTAGGGGACCACCTTTGGGGGTCGGGCTAAATCACGAATTGGTAGAAGTTAGAATTCATTGGTATACAAGCTAGCTCGGCTTGTAACCGGATGGTCCTGGGTTTGAACCCTGGCAGAGGTGTGGGTGCATCCTGCAGATGATTCCCAAAACTACACTGAAGAAACAGCTGTCTAGCAGTACTTCAGTATTAGTTTTCAAATGTTCTCTAACTGATGATATCAATCCGTGATCAACTCGTAAAAACAAGTGTCAGATATCCCTGAGGTTAGAAAATGAGCAGTCTTCATAATTTCAATGTGAATTTCATTGTTAACTAAAATTCTTTAGAGAATTATTGAAAAAAAAATTATGGCGGACGAGGAGAGGAAGAGCATTGGACAGCTGTTTCATGCTAGTCGTGTTATTAGGGATCAATTCCTAGGAGGTTTAAAATATTTTATAAAAGGTCAACTTGCTCACTACTCTGTGACATTTGAGCTGAAATTCACTCACCTGTGAATTCCATTCCAATCCATGATCATCTTAAATGCATATGTGCGTCGGCGGCACAGCGGTTAGGACGCTCGCTGACCATGCACATGGTACCGGGTTCGATGCCCCAACGACGCACACCTGATGTCAATCATCGGCCTGCAGAATTGGGCTACCGATATCACATGCTGAAAATTCCATACATGCACCAAAAATACGGTGTAGAATCAAGCTATAATAAAAAAAATGAAAAAAATATATTCATGTTTATAAGTTGAAGGCCCGCCAGAAACGCCTAACATGGTTTGGGATTCCCTCCCCGACCTTGTGGACGCACTCTTTTTTACCTTGCTAAGTCTGTAATTAATAAGACTGGCAAAAAGGGAAGGTTGGCTAGGCATGAGGCTGGCTGGCTGGCTAGCAACCCCATCCGGTAAAAATAAATACCATCACTGCTAACGAGACTTCAAAGCGCTCTAGCTTGAAGTTCCTTGTGTTTCATCACTCGGAACATAAGAATAATTTAGGAGGGCAGTGATAGTAGTACCTTATCAATCTATGTCTCCTCCACAGAACAGGATGGGTGGGATTAACCACGATTATTAAAAAAGTTAAAATAAAATAAAAACTTGACGGAAATTTTTCTGAATTACACTTTAATAGATATTCATTTGACGAAAACCCGTTGATTCATCTAAGATACTTGTTTGTTAATCAGACTGGTAACCTGAAGGTTATTTAGTGTTTCAAGGAGGTTTCAAGGTTCTAGGAGTATTTGATCCCATCGATTAATTTTTAGACTTTATCATATCCACTGATAATGTTTTTAAGATACCGTTGACATCTGTCATTTACACAAACTTTACACAAACGTTTAAGGGATACAAACTGTCGAGCTTCTAAACAACAGTGATCTGGGGAGTGGAAACATAGATCATAGATATAGTATCGTTATTTGGAGAGACGTCTGTGAGGGAGTCTAAATGGTTTAATTTAATGCCTAAAGCTAATAATGCTTGTAGAATGCATGGTACTATTAAGATACGTAAACCAGGTTGTCCCATACGACCAATACTTACTTATGAATTATCAAAACACTTAGCTCTAATATTATGCTCCATTAGAAATCATTCAAACTCTAGGCCGGCTAACTAATTCATGTGAGATCAAAAATAAACTAAATGACATTCGACTAGAAAACGATGAAATAATGGTTAGTTTTGATATGACTAGTCTTTATACCAATCAATGTGGCAGCCTTAGAAGCAGTTAAAAAAGAACTAACTGCACATTCTGAACTCACTCATAGGACAAAGCTGTCTATTGAAGATAATACTTTAGGAATTCACTTATACTGCCTCACATCTACTATTTTTAAATTCCAAGGCAAAATATATAGACAAACAGAAGGTGTAGCAATGGGACGGATCACCAATATCTCCTATCGTAGCTGATATATTTATGGATAAAGCTCTTAATACAATATTTAATCCTACTCCAAAAATATGGTGGAGATATGTGGATGGCACTTTCACTAAGAGTGTTAAAAACAGAACATATCTCTCTCTAGCTGCTTGACACACATAAACTCACTAGTAGAGGGAATAACAGGCCGTTAAGTCGAGTCATTGTGTTCATATTATTCTTATTAGTATAAGTTCATAACCTCATTCACTGTGTGTGTGTGTGTGGCTATATATGTAACCACACTGTTACCAAGACAACTGTAACGATTGTCCTGCAATCTGTTTGTGTCTGATCAATAAATTTTGAGCCGAAAGTCATCCTAGGACGAAACATCTGTCCAGTACTTCAGTGCTGGATTTCCAATTGTTCTCTAACTAATGTCAGCTCATGATGAAACCTTCCAACCAATATTATAACTAGTTATTGCTATTCTGACATATCGTCTTGCCAGTCTTCGTAATGTCGTGATGTTTGATGACAAAGCTAAGCGTTTATCGACTACTTCATAGGAGAAGAGAAAAGTGCTGAGACAGTAGTGACATAAAAGAGAATTACATATGCATTAGTTGTCTTATTATGTCAGTGACATCTACGGATTTCACTTGCAAGAGTATAGGACTAAGGTTCTATAGAAAGATTTTTGGTTTCGAATAAAGAAAGACTTACTGACTGACCGACAGCAGAAGCCTTACATATGTATTTGGATGATGCTACCCCAAAAGTTTGAACAGACGTGAAGGTGTGATCTTGTTAGCTGATTAATAAATAAATAAAAAATACATATGTATCAGTAATTAATCATACTTGATCTAAATTCCCGATTGTTTCTGTGTATCGTCTTATGGAGAGGCTAACAAATGATTGACAGTTGTATCCCCCATATACACATGCACACACACACACACTATTGTATACAGAATATTAATAATGTATTTTTCTATAGTTGGTTTGTAAGGATTAGTTATGTTTTCACAAGTTGATCAAGGATCGATATCAGTTAGAGAAATATTGAAAACCAATACTGGAGTACTGCCAGACAGCTGTTTCATCAGTCTAGTTTTGGGAATCATCAGCAGTACGCATCCACCACAGTAGGAGTCGAACACAGGATTTTCCGGCTCGTATACCATTCAGTTATTGGCACCCAATTTAATCGCAGGTCCATGAATTCTAACTTCTACCAATTCGTGATGCATTTAGCACGACTAACACCAACCATTGTCATCGGTGGGACATCCATCCTCACACACTTGACTGGATGGACCTTAGTGGTCGCTACTGAAACACTAACTAGCCTTCAGGTTACCAGTCTGATTACCAGACAAAAAATCTTGTATAAGACGATGGATTTTCGTTAGATGAATATCCCCGAAACTGTAATTCATATTCAATTATCTATGACCATGAACTTTTTAGGCGAACGTAAACACTAAAACTCTGATGCAAAAATTCACAGTGTTTACCATTATTTAACAAAAAAGTAGACTAATATTTGTAACAAGTCTGAGGTCAAATTCTGATCACAGTTCATGCAATTTTGTTTATTATCATATTTCTGGGACTGTTTCATGACTCATATCGCTGGACAACGTTTTTCAAAGCCATGAGATGTCTTTTTAACATATACCTCTGTTACGTTATTTTCGACTAATTTCCTTGGAGAAGTTCAGACCAGGTTGCTAACCTCACCTGATTTCCAGGCTAGTAAAATGGGCAAGGTTTTTTAGAGTGAATCCATCAGCAAAGAATCAGATCTCTGACCACATGTGTATGATTGTCGAGTATTCTAACTGCTGATCCACACAGACACACAATAAGAAATTAGATGAACAGCATTCATCCTGATAATATTATGAGGGTGGTTAGTTCAACTTCGAAACTCTACTTACACGGGAATATGCGTCGGGGATTGTGTCTTGTTCCACCGACTAGTTCAGTCTTTGTCTACAGAGGAAATATGTTTCGCGTTAACCGAATACTTCATTCAGTTTTTTCCAGGTTAGTAAACTTGAACAAAACAAGGATGATAAATCTATGAGAATATTATTTCGGGGATGTTTTCTCTCGACTGGCTGGCTGGCTGACTGACTGACTGACTGACTGACTACAGAAGGGGAACAATGCTAAACAAGATTAATGACAGTAGAGGTTTAAGCATACCTTTCTCCCGATGACAAGGAGTAATTGATAAGAAATAAAAGTAATATAAGTTCAGAAAGATTTAAGTCGTTAAATTATGAGAAGTTAGAAAGGGGGGATTGTCCATTTATAGAATAATTAGACCAATATACTTGTGAGAATAGACTCCAAAATATTTTTGAGGTAGGAACAAAGTTTCGACAGGGCAGTAGGTTATATACCTATAAAAATGTATATTTACCAGACTCTATTTTCACGAGTTCAATTATTCTGAGAATGGTCAATCCCCTTATTTTTTTGTAAACTCTTTATAATTTAACAACCTACATCATTTACTTGAAAATATTAATTATACTACCTGAATATCTTTTAAGTAGGTAAATTATTAATAATAAAAAGTGAGAATTCTTATTATGAATCTTTTGGCTGTAGAAGTGAATATATTTTAGATAATGATGAATCTAAGTTACTCCTGTGCTGTTGAACTCACACACCTACACGAATGTGCATATATATATATATATATATATGTATATAAATATATCTTGGAAACCACTGGAAAACCTGGGAGTACTGGACAGCTGTTTCGTCCTAGTTTGGGACTCCTCAGCAGTACGCACCCACCGGGATTCGAACCCAGGACCTTCTGGTTACAAGGCGAGCTCGTAGACCATTGAGCCACTGGGACCCGATCCAATGGTCCTTGAATTCTAACTTCTGCCAGTTCACGACATAGCGCGACCACTTCGCAATGTCTTCTTCGATGAGTTACTGCCTCATCTTCAACCTGCTGTACCCTACTGGTCACGGC